AAGGGCCTGCTTTCTTCTGGGTGTTTGTTGTCTTGGCTGCAAATGCCAGTTGTGATCATTCCTTGGGACAACTTCATTTCCAGCGTACTTTTTATTAAATGCTAAGATATCTATGTGATATCTGTGAAGTGCCTCATTCTTAACTGGAACATTTACAAGCTGTCTGTCTTCTGCCTAACATAGCAGAACCCTTTTATCCTGGAGCCTTTCTACCTTACAACATGTGGATGTCAGTTTAAAGCTTAGTAGATGGGCATATATTGTCACTTTGTGTGCATAAGCTTTTTCTATGGTAAACAAGGCTAAAGAGCACTCAAGTTTAAAAAAAAAAAAAAAAAAGCTTCCTGTACCAGCTGGTGTTACATGTCTGCACCTGGGTTACAGGCTAGACGGTGTTCTGCCCTTGTCTTTGGACCTGCATGGTCCCCTCACACAGTCTTGGCCGACCTGCTGCTATTTGGGTCAGATATGAAACCGAGCCTTTTCCCTGCTGCTGTTGAAAACTGGTCTGACGGGGTGGATGTGCCAAGGTGGGTATCCAGCTAAAAGAGGAAAGAAGCACGGTGTTTGTGAAACCTTGTACTTGTGAACTCTCTGCGAGGCTGCTCATTTTAAGTGCTTACTATTATTTTAATGAGCTATCTGCGGGTTGTTTCAAGTTTAGTTAGAAACTCTGATTTTTGCTTCAATATTATGAAAGCGAATAGTAACCTGGACTTGGCTGCACTCTGGCACTTAAAGGAAAACTGAGCAGCAGGCCCATTTTATCAGTGGACAGGAGATGTATCTGGTTATTTGACCAGATGCTTGACTCAGCTGGCTAAAACAAATTTGGCTAAAGCTTTTCTTAAACTTTACTTGACAGTACCAGGTTACAGCTGCATGGGACAGGTTAGTGCTCTGTGGGCTCCAGAGCTGCTCCAGTACCTCAAGAGAAGAAGCCGCCCTGACAGCAGCTCAGTCGGCTGTCCCAGCCTGCAAAGCCTTGTACCCTGGTGCAGGGTATCCTTGGCTGGCTGACCAGGCAGCACAGCGTGCTGTGGCTCTTTTGCTTTGCGTCCCTGTGGCAATTGCTGGAGGATTTGGGTCGATGACGGTGCTCACTTGATGCCAGGCGCTCTCGGAGCTGGGCGTCTGCCTGTGCTCAATGCAGCCATTTAGCAGCTGCTCCTAGTGGGTAAGTGGAAAGCAGGTTTTTGCCTCTATTTTTAAATTGCAGTATGTAGAAACCAATGCAGCGCAGTCTGCACTATTTGTGTGATAACTTGCTGCTGCTTGTTTATGAGATAATTACTGTACTATCCCTGAATGAATGTCCTCTAAGGTAAAAGACATATCAATCATATTAATTATTGCTAATAATAGTAATTAGCATGTGAGTAAGCTATTTGCTTGTTTTGTGAGTTTAGGCAAGTCACTTCCTTAATAGCTTGGTTTTTTTTCAGCTATGAAATGGGGAAAATAGTAGTTTTCCTCAGTGTTGCATGCCATGTGAGTGTTGCATGTGTTGTGGTTTAACTTAGCAGGTGGCTCAGCACCACACAGTCAGTCGCTCACTCCCTCTTTCTCAGTGCAATGGGAGAAAGAATCAGAAAAACAGAACTTATCTACTAAGATAGAGAAAAGGTAAAGGATAATAGTTAGGACTGTACGTATGTATATGAATGTCTATAACAAGTGATGCACGAGCAATTGCTTACTACCCATGACCGTGCCCAGGAGAGCCCCCCAGCATGCAGACACTAAACTTTTCTAAACTTTCCTTCCGTGTGATGTCATGTGGTATGGACTATATCTTGGGCCAGTTTAAGTCAGTTGTCCTGATTCTGTCTCTTCGCAGCACCTTGGGCCCCTTAGAGTCATAGAATCACTAAGGTTGGAAAAGACATGTAAGATCATCCAGTCCAACCATCCACCTATCACCAGTATTTCCCACTGTGTCTCTCAGTATAACATCTAAATGCTTTTTGAACATCTCCAAGGTTGGTAACTCCATCACCTCCCTGGGCAGCCCGTTCCTGCACCTGACCGCTCTCTCAGAGAAGAAATATCTCCTAACATCCAACCTTCTTTGTTCCCTTGAGGCCATAAGGCTTCGGAGGCCCTTATGCCTCCCTGCTTCTTTTTCTCCGCTTGTTGGTAGGACAGCAGAAGAAACTGGTAAAACCGAAGTGTCCTTGGCTTTGTACAGCACTGCTCAATAACAATTGGAAGCATCAGAGTGTTACCAACATTGGTTTTCTCCTAAAAACCAAAACAAAGCATTGTACCAGACACTATGAAGAAAAACAACTCTGTCTCAGCTGAAACTAAAACAGTATGAAACAGACTGCATCAGCTGTACAGGAAGGGAGGTCAGTTACCTGTGTTTGCCAGCTGGTACAGAGCCATGTGGAATTGAGGAGCAGCAGCTCACGAGCTGTGCAGTGACTGGGATAGGGGCTAGTAGCTTTGCTGTGCTTGAGTGAGGTAAGGTTGTTTCATGTCTTAGGGCAGTCAGCTGCCAAACACCCTTGATATTATAAGCATCGCTAAGTGTCATTCTAAAACATCCTTTTTGCCAGGTTTACTTTGCATCCTTCTCGTTCAGGGCAGAATCAGGCATGATTGACTTCTGCCATGGTGCTGTGCTGAGGAAATCACAGGATTAGAATTTGAGGCCCCTCTGTCAACCTGAGAGCTGCCAAGGTCTGCACGCCACAACAAGAAGCAGGACGTACAGGCCCTCATGTACCTTCTGTAGTGCCTCAGGAGATGCCAGCGCCTGCCCTCGCTGAGGGTGTTGTTTCTTGTAGAGATGCTTTCAGCAACATAGTTCAGGATTTGCCCCTGATTATCTGTGCTGCTTCTGATCACAATGGGTGTGCAGTGAGGGTGATGGATAGAGCTTTACTACATGAAGCCAGTTCTCTCCTTCTGTACTGGTGAAGGCAGTGTGTGTGAGTAAGTTGGAAGTGCATCAGCACGTCTGTGGGCAGAGTGTGGCCCCTTCGTTTCCCATACAAAGGCCAAGATGTCCTTCAAAAAGCTATTCTGACCTCTGTCCTTTTCCTCCTCTTTCTCACAATTTTATTATTAGCTCCTTTATTTTCATTTAGGTAAGTACATCAGGGCAAAGGACAGCAATCCTTGGTGTCTTGTCTGGAGTAGATCTCTTGGCCAAATGTCCTCTTGCCCAATCCCGTGCCTGGTCGGCCCTACACCTTGGCAGATGATGTTACTCGTCAGCACACTGGCACAAGCTCTGTACTCAGAAGTGTTCTGAAAGATGACAACAGTGCTGTAGTTAAGACCAGGAGCAGGCTGGGAAGGGCGGTGACAAATCTTTTGGTGGAGAGGTTTAGGAACAGTGGCAAAGCAGCAGAGATCGAGTGCTGGTTGCTCCTGATCCAGCCTGGAGAGGCTCTGTGACCCACCCTGAGAGCTATCTTGGCCCCATGTCTTGTTTCTGTGATATATGGCACAGAGCCGTTTTACCAAAGAGTCTCAAAGAAGATTGATGGTCTCAGTGCATTGTCCATGCCGCCAGGCTCCTGGTCCCCACCAGAGCTACCAGGCAGCTGGAAAGACAAACAAGAGCTGGCTCCACCTACCAGCAGTATGGAGACAGCAGCCTGTGAGATCAACAGCCCAAGAATGTGCACACAAAAGAAGCATTTCCCTCTGCCACGACAGTAAAACCGCCAGACAACCACATGCAGCATGTGATTTCCCAAAAGCTTCAGTCCAGATCCTAAGTTTTTTGTGCCACACACTGTTTCCCAGGATTGGATCACAGGGGCAACATGTAAAAGGCACTTTTAAGCAATGAAAATTAATCATATTTTCCTCAACACTGTTTATGGAAACCGTGAAGAACGTTTCTGCCCCTCTGTGCTTGGCCAACTGGCTCAGCTCTCTGGCCCTGTGAGTTGAACCCACTGCAGATAGGCGGTGTTTATGGGGCAGCCGCTCTATGAGAAGTCCAAGCTTGTTCTGTGCAAAAAAAGGGAGAGGTTTTCTATTGACCTGTAGTACAGAGTCTTTTGCCCTCTTCATTACTCTCATGTCCCTGACAGAATTGCTGCTGTGCATTCCCATCCACAGCTGGTATGCAGCCTGCAGTACGCACTGTGCCATCTGCCTGCCTAAGCTGCAAGTGGCTTGTGAGAGCATCCAAGTATTTGGAAGCTTTGGCCACTTGGAACCTGACAGGGAGTGGAAATAAGGTGTGTCAGCACTGGTTTGGTTTCCATCCACTAGCTGGTTTTACAATGATAAAATCTCTTCCCCTTTGGTGTAGCAGTTCTGGTGTACGGCAGAGATCTTGTGTGTGGTACCTAAAATCTGGCTGGGCTCAGTTATTTCTGAGTTCATTTTTTTGTATCCGTTTTGTTGGGACTCACTGTAGTCTGTTGTTTACTTCTTAACTGTAAGGGGTGCTGCCAGTTCATGATGACCACCGGCTTTTAGAGTTCTGTAAGATTTCATGAAATCTCTTGTTTTCCATGTGATTTTCTGTATTCACCTTCGCATGTGACCAGTACTGCCTTAGTATCACAGGTAGTTCAGTGCATAGTTGTTTTGACATTGATGCTTTAGTGACAGGAACAGCCATATGCTGTAGTCTGTGTTTGTGGTCCTTCAGAGACAAATGTGTTGCTGATGTTGATTCCAGTGGATGTGATCCAGTGGATTCCAGTGGTGTGATTTTACTTACTAAGGGAATTGTATCAATTTACAAATGAGCCTTTCCCCACAGAATAATCCTCTTTGGTTTTAGATTTCAAATTTTCCAGGAACTGGTATCAGCTGGGTTCTATCACTCACAACTAATGTTTGGTTGATAAGGAGTTTGTTAATGCAGGATGGAGACTACAGACTAATCCTCCTCACCATGTACATGGGTGGATGCTGCCAAGAGGAAAGACACCAGGAGCTGGCCACATTAACACATGCAGCAGGACGTGCTTTGTACTTCGTATCCTGAACAAAATTCTGACAGTGCAATATTTTAACAGGGAGAAGACTACGAGGAAAAGCATTCTACAATGTCAATGGCAAGGTGTACTGTGAAGAAGACTTCCTAGTAAGTAAGACTTCAGGCATTTTTTTCACTGTTTTTAGACCAAATTGTTCTTTCATATTGTGTTTGCTTGAGAGTTGGTTTTGTCTTCTGGAGTACCTTTCTGCCAATGCTGGAATTGGGAAACATTTTACTACTAATTCCATAACAGTATTGGGCCCATAGTTTGAAGGGATGGGTATGAAACCAAGTGTGTAACTGTTCATAAGCCATTACAAAGTATAAATTACGAGAATAAACAATGGAGCTGCTTAAGCTTGGGTCTTATTGGATCCACAAATCCTGTCAAACTCAACCTTAAATATCTGGGGAATGCAAGTCACAACAAGAGGGAAGACATTTCTGTCTGGAGCACGTCATTGCTGTGTACGTTGTTGCCGGTGCAGTTTTAACATCACAGCTCTGCTAGGAGCGATGTGGAGCTTTGCTGTGAGTAGCTAAAAACCATGAGCCGTAGAGGAGCAACTAATTTTCTTTCCGTGCGCCCAGAGTTTTTATAAATGCTGTACGTTAATAGAAACTGAGTCATGAAAAAGGAAAAGGAAGCTTATTGCTGGGTTGCGTTGTTCCAAAAATGAAGTATTTGTGCAATTAAGGATGCAGATTGTGCAGTACACAGAGATGATTTCGTAAGTGGCGCACCATTTATAATTAAGAACGAATGAACAGTGTGGCCGGGAATCGAACTGCTACGTTTCAGCTTATAGGATGATGAATTGGAGAAACCAGTATGTTGAATTTACAGCACCTTTGTTGTTCACTGAAATACCGTTCATTTAGAATCATGGGTCTTCAGAACAGCTTTCCATTTCTAATGAAAATATGTCCATCCTTTTTGCAAGGGAATTACTCAGAGTATATCCCACAGCAGAAGTATTGCTGGTAGTACAGACTGCACAAATGCATTTCTCATCAGTGCGATCCATGAGAACTATGGAAATTCTTAGAATGTAAGCCATGTTTGCCTTTGTGTTATACCTGTATTCTCAGCCTACCACAGCTGGCAACTCCCGAGAAGAGCTGGTCATATTTTGTACAGAAAGGTTACTTTTAGTAATTGAAATACGTTACTGTTTTGCCTGTGTTTTGGAATGAAAATGTGATTTTCTTCCATGCTTTTTTCAACTCCTTATTGCCTCTGTTTCTGAGAATTGTAGAGAGACAGAGGAAAAATAGAGTGTGAGGTGGAGAGATTTTTGACCCTTTGAGATTTTTATTTTGTACTGTGTCAGAATGTACTTTTTCCATGACTAAAACCTCTCACACAGACTCAGTGGACATGATTGTTGCTATTAGCTTGTAATCTCAGCCTAAACAAGGCAATTTTAGATCTGAAAATCTACGTCTTTTTGGAGAACATTCAGGCTTTGAGTGAGGAATTGACATGTTCTGTAGTAGGCTTCTGTAGGGAGATGCAGAGATTTTCCCAATAAAACAGGTTATGGACCTGATAGAAATACATTTTCTGCAACTGTCGGAGCTGTTGAGACATTTAAGGTGTAGATATTTAAGCCTAATCCTACTGTGGGCACTTTGTAACAGATTTCTCCTAGCTTGGGGAGATGAGAGAGAAACAGACTCAAGGACTGCAGCAAAATGCAGCAAAAGAAATTAACTTCTGAAGTTATCCTGCCAGCATTAAACTGACTGCTTCTCAGAAAGTGATTTTGCTCTCTTTCATTTTCCCTTGAGCAAACCTCATAGCGAGAATACCAGAAATTGCCTTGTTTCTCTAATTAAAACAACTTTGCCGTCTTCAGAGTCCTGTGGACTGAGCAAGCTCAGAACAGAGCAGTCAGAGGAAAAGGCTGCATAGTAGCATTCAAAAAGGAAATCACTTTAACTACTTCTTGCCTCCAGATCTTGCTGTGCAAGAAGCTTCGTGCTGTCTAAAAAGAGGCTTCTCTGTCCAAAACAGAGAGCCAATTTTTTTTTTTTTCAATATAACTGAAAATTTAAAGCTCCAAACTTTCCTACAGCTTTATATACAGATTAGCTGCTGACCACAGAATGATGTTAGTCAAAGAGCTGGGGAGGTGGATTGTGTTTAAAAAAAAAAAACCAAACAAGTTGCTTCAGGATGTCTGAGGGTAATCTTGCACTCAGTTCTGTGAGCACAGCTATGAGAGCTTTGCAGGTCAAGAAGCAAGCTGGCAGAACTATAGGAGCTGCTATGCACTGTCCCTGGAGTGGCTCCATAGTCCCCACAGAGACCTGCCTTCCGCCCCACAAACCTCTGTCTGGCCAATAGCAGCTGCAAGAAGAGTACATACTCCTATCTACGTCTGTTGCACTGTGAGACTTACTTGTTGTCTCACTGCAGCTTCTTTCTGACTATTAAATGCAGTCAGATTCTGGTCTCATTCTTAGGTATGGAACAGGGAAAAATAAATAAATATTGGAGAGGAAAGCAATAGCAATTGACCTGCATTGTGATTGTATTCCTGCTAAGAAAATACTGTCTCCTGTTGGTGTCCTTGTCCCTTTGGCTTTTGTTTCTCTGAGAACTGATGAGTTACATGGTCCTATATGTGTGGGAATGTTGTCACAGTTGCAACCTTGCAGCTGGTGACCTGGTTATTTATTATATAAATTTGACCCTTTCTTTGAAAGGTGCTTTTAATTTTTGGACAGAGGTGTTACAGAAGTGCAGATGTTGTCTGCACTGTAAAATTGCATTATGAGCAATTTCCACTGTGCAGCCATAAAACTACCCAAAGCACAGATACACCCATCAAAAACCTTTGGCAGTAGCCACAAGGTACATTCTTCTAACAAATAGTTTTCCCACATGTTTGCTCTTATTGAGGGCACAGATTATCTTTCTCCAAATCAGGCAGCTTATTTTGCTCATTCTTTCCAAGAAAGAGACGCTAGAAGTTTTTAGACATGCTCGTGGAATTGTAGATGGAGGGAAGATGCCACATGGCACTGTTGGGATCATCCTTGGGTAATAGTGCTAACCTCGATGTGTGAGGGATCCTGAATCAGTGTTAGGGCTGGTGAACTGCACCCACAGGAGGGGACGTGGCATTACTCTTTATTTGTTGTCAGCCTCCCGCTCCTGACCAGCTGCAAATTCAGCCAGTGCGTAGATCCAAGCCACATGGACTAAATGTAGTGAAAGAATCAGATTTAGGAAAAAAAATCACAGTGCCAGATAATCCTGATCCTACCTTGGTGTGCTGTAGAAATGTCCTAATCTACTATTTCTGGTAGGAGCACTGTGGTAGCTCACAGAAAAGAACAAAACAGAAAGCCCTGACTTTTCACTGGCTTGCTATGGCTCCAGGGAAGATACAGTTACTCTTCTTATGCCACCTTAAGGTAGCAAGTCCAGCAATTTCCAGCTCTTGCCTCAGCCCTGTTAGGATACTTATTTCATGAAAGGAAACAAAACAAATGACAGTTTAATCCTTCCCTGAAAGCTCTGAAGACACAGATGGCTAACTAGCCATAACAGGGACACTGTTCCTGGTGAACAAAACATAAATTCCTTACAGTATAGTAAATAATCCCAGTCAGATGGCTTCTGCCATTTTGTTGATAAATTGCTGCCTAATCACGGGTGAAGGAAAAGCAGCTCAATAATTTTGTCTTTCCTGTTCAATGCTTAAATACCATGTAAAGAAATTTAAAATAAATTACTGTTTTTCTTGGAGAAAAAAAACTTTTAAAATGTCACAAAGCAGCCTGAATCTTAGATCTGTTACTGCATTTTTAAAAACTTTCTATGGACTTATTTTTTCTCTTGAGGTAATGAACATTATTGAGTGGGGGTCCAGCAGAGGTTTAGAAATAAGAGAACTTCCCTCCAAGGAAGAGATCAGAGGGAAAATGAACCTTGTGACAGCTGTTAGTTACATTGCTTAGTGTACTACTGGAAGACACTCAGATGCTATGGAAATAACCAATTACAGACACTACATGCTGCACTGCATAGCATTAAGGTCATACAAAATTTCCCCTTTTAAGATGATTTTTTCCCCCGTCTTACAACTTTGCCAAATTTAATCTTTTAGGCTGAACTTCTCCGTGCTGGGATTTTGCCTCTGGCTAACTTTGCTGTCAATTTTTGTTGAAGGTTTCATCTAAATCTATTCATCTATTTCAGTGAATGAGACTGGAGGAAGATCTGTCACTTTGCCTATAAATCCTCAAGGAGAAAAGTTCTAAAAATGTCATTTTACAGATGCCAACCAAACAGAGAGACATATGATGTTGGGAGGTTTTAAGGTGCCCCCTTTCTGCCCTATGTGTCCCCGAGTATGGCCAGCCCCACCATGACGGTGTGCTTCCTGCCCTGGCCACGTTCCTCTCTACTCCAGAGGCACAAGGGCTGAGCAGATGGAGGGTCATCAGCCTACAGTGCTAACAGAGCTGTGCCTTGAAATCATGCTGGCTGCCTCTCAAATCTCCCCCTCATTCTAGTTCTCCAGGGTTTCTAATCATTCCTTCCCACCAGCAACTGGTACCTCTTCTTAACACCGCCTTCCTTGCCACAGCCCTAGCCTCTTCTCTGTAACTGACCACTGAACACAGAAGTTGGTTACAGAGAGCATACTGGGCCTCATCTTAGATCCACAACTGTAAAACACTAAATATTTTTAAAGGTATGTAAGGGGCAATGAATGCAAGACTGGCATGAGGAGACAAAGATGATAGGAGCAAGGAGCGGGATATTAATGGAGAGCTAACTGGGTGATTTGCACCTTCATCTCCTGTAGTACCAAGTGAAATGAGACCCTGACCCTAATTTGGGCCTCTAACATACATGGCTGAAATGTAAATATTAACGATAATGAAGCTATTCTTTTCAGTTTGCACACATGCTGTTTTCTACAACTGGCAGTGTGGGAAATAGTCTGTTCCACTTGCTGCATCCTCAGGAAGATTGTTTTTATTTAGTGTAATGGAAGCTGGTGTCAGCTGGAGCCAGAGGTTTGATTTTCTACCTCAGTATAAGTGTTTGGGAGGTGAGCACTGGGACTGGTGCATTGGTCCGAGAGCCCATTGCTGCTGATGGAGACTCTCAGAAAAAAAACAGAATCCAGCTGAAAGGTAAACGATTTAAGTTGTAGTTGTGCCCATTTGATATCTAATGGAAGTCACAGAGCAAATGTAGTTTAGACGATTGCTAGGATGTTGCATTTAGGAGACTTGCGATTAAAATGCATTCTCCAGTTAGAGAGCAGACAAGCATTGCTTATCAATATGTTTACTGGAGTAATGGAATGAAAGCTTGGAAAGGAATTTGCTGTGTGGTATTTCTGGTAGATGTAAGTTTGAGGAAGTCTGTGAGTATTTTCAAGGTGCTGACTGCTGTAGGTTGGGACAGGAGGGACTTTCAAGTTCTGTAACGCTGATACCATTAATCTGAAGTGGACAAATCCAAGTCATGTGCCTTGAAAGGCAGTCAGTTACCAGCTGAATTCCTGGGTTTTGTCAGTGTTTTCACAGTCCAACAAATTCTGTGCTGAACGTAAGGTCTATCCTTGCCCAATCCATGTCTTTCAGCTGCAACTAAGTGGAAATGCAGAAACATGAAGATACGCTGCTGTGGTAGTGTTTCCTTACTGGCAGTAAGGCAGGGCACAGCAACAGGGTATGTGAAAGGTTTTCCAGCAAGATGAAGGGAAAGGTTCTGGACTATTTTGCTTTAATCTCTGCCACCTGCTCTGAGGCTCCAGTATCTTTGATATCTGTGAAGGCTCCATTTTGTTCAGTTCAGTTTAATCACTGCATTTAAATGTGTGTGAAAAAAAAAAAAAAAAGAAACAGAAAAAAACCAACCATCTGCATGAAACCAAATTTGATATTCTCTCCCTCTTTTAATGTGACCCCATGAATTTCTTGCATTGTTGTATCCCATGTACTAAGGGTCCCATGCAGAGTGCAAACAATAGAGCAGTGAGAAGACAGATGCTCTGCTAATGGGAAACCAAGGAGAAGAGAGTCTGTGAGGGATTACAGGCAGCCTGGGGTTGGAATACATTATTAGCATAGCACCCAATTCAGAAATTAGTTTTCCGAATTAAATGCCTACAGCATTTTGGCAAAAGCTCCTGATCATACCTCTCAAAAGCCCTTGAAGCATAAAAGGGTAAGAATCTCAATTCTAGGCTTAACATTCACATTCGGTGACTTTGCAGTGCTGTAACAGTTTTTACAGCTTCATACCATTGGCAGTAACTGCCACACCTACTGAAATGTAACCCACTTGATCTGTTTGCACAAACCTTTAGCAGGTTTTGAACATCCCCATTAAAGAAGAAAATGGGTCTGAATGAGATTCCAGGGTCTGTTTCCAGGAGGAGGGTTTTGTTTTATTGAGTACGTGACAGCAGGGAAGTGCATCAGTCTCTCCCTGGGCTTGGTTGGGCATGTGAAGGAGAAGCAGTGACATGTCCCTTCCAGGCTCTGATGTTGCCTAAGGTAGAAACTTGGGATCCCGAAGCCTCTGTCAGGAATGCTTTGTTTTGTTTGGTTTTGCTTCTGAAAATCCCGATGAGAGTATTGAACTTTAAAAGGCCCTGGCTACACAACCAACGTTGGTTGGAGGGTTCAGGGCAGACAGGAGAAATGTTTTCCTACCGTACTTGGTGGGATTAACCTCCATGCATAATTGTCCATTATATGCCCAAAATTCATCGTTAAATTCTTGCATATTAGACAGAACCGTTCATAAACCCTAAGATTTTCATAGAAGGACACTATCAGTCCTAAATATTTGAGACAGAAGGGGACTTGTTCTTCTCTTTGTGCCTGTTAGATAATCAAAGTGTAGTGGACAGCGAACAAAAGAAAAGTTCAGCCAGCTAAGTCTTCTACTTTATTTTCACTCTTCCGTTCTGGCATACGTTAATCATATCTCAAGGTTTTCTAGAGTCTTATTTTAGTATAAATATCACTGGGGAGTTGGATTATGAAGGTCTTGATTCTTGCGCATAAACTAGATTTTGTTATCCTGAGTGAGAATTCAAGGACAAGGTAAATATGGGAGAAGGCATCTGGGAGCAAATCAAGGAATTGGGAAAAATATTTTACCAGCTCCTTAGCATTTACTTGTTTTCTTTGCATTTTGGTAATTAGCATCTTACTTCTAATCCACAGATGGGACAGTAAAGAATAAGGCTTTTTTTTGAGCTTTGAATTTCACAGCAATTATTTCATAACAAATTCTTTGAATATTTTTGTATATACTTAATGAGCATCTATAACAAATATTTGAGAACGTTCAAAAATACACTTACTTGTCCTGGGTTCATACTGTCTGTATCCTTTTGAATGCATTTATCTAGTTTGAGGCTGGTCTGTACTTGTTATCTTCAGAAAAAAAATACATCTGAGAACTTTACAAACTAAGCCTCATTCTGTCTGCATTTAGAATGAAACTGTATGTATAAACTACTTTGTATACAAGAAATGTAGCTAGGATGGGCTTTCTCAGCTAGGATCTTGCATGTCGATCCATTAATTATTTCACTGTCTTGTCTCAATCTGCTTTTCATGTCTCCAGATTATGAGGAAGGGTGGCATACCCAAAATTTCTTTTCCCACCTCCAGCTATGGAGTAATGTCAGACATAAAGAGTACAAGTCTGTACAACCAAACCCGTCTTCTCATGGAGCTGAATCGTTTGCAAGCTCTGAGGGACCAGTGCTGCTTCCACCAGCCACACTGGGAACCCGTCACCAGGGAGGCTCCTTGGTGTGCTGACAGATGATAATGAAGCCATTCTCCCTTGTCTGCTGTCCGGAGCAAGTAACAGTCTCTGTCTGTACGCACGAGGCTTGTGAAGCTTAGTAATTAGTACGATTAGTAATCAACTGTTTCAAAGGCAGAGGTTGACAATTTTAATTAATATTTTAAGCTCTGCTTCTAAAATTGTAAACTTAGCACAACAGCCACGTCTGAATTCTCAAAGAGAAGAGAACAAACTGCAGAGGTGAAGTTGACTGACAGGTGAGAGACAAAAAAACGTAGAGATGATGACATATTGTTTACCTCTAAACAGCACTGCCATCAGATGGAAAAATGGTGCTGCTGGTTTCCCTGCCTGTTACTATTTTCCAGTCCAAAGAGAGGTAAAGCACAAGCAAAGCCTAATCTACCAGCTGTCAGTAAAGCAGGTTTCTGATTTGTCTGAGATCAGTGCTGCGATCAGGAAGAAAGAATAGTGTAGCGGCAAAGGGGCAGTTTCCCAAGCCTGTGAAATATTTTATCACTGATATCAGACTTGTTACCGTGTTATGAAGTCGTCTTAATAGAGTAATGTAGTTCTGAATGTGGCAAATAACAATTCTCTTGTTAAAAACAAATCAGGGTTTTAATATAATAGGGTAAGTCTTGTAAAGAGTGATTTTGTGTCAGCAAAACCTTTCTTTCTGACAAGCAGTGTAATTTATGACAGTCTAGTTAGCACTAAATGACATTAATGTGACCATTAAGCCATTCTCTTCCTGGGAAATAACGTTCTTTCTTAATCAATAGCTGGGTAAATGCTCCTTTGCATTCCTTATCAAACGGCAGCCAGATGGTACCGGTAAATTCATTCCAGCAGGATTTTAGAATTAGCTGGGTTTGAATTATTGTTAATCCTCTGCTGTCTGTGCTGCCAGGACCTACCCACCTGTTTCCAGTAACCCTTCAGTTCGCAACCTTAGGAAATAGTCTAGCCAGATGGTTACTGAGATACAGTGCAGCCAAGAAGCATCCCGAGCAGCCAGGCCTTTTCTACCTCAGTTAGAAGAAAAAAGCAAGCATTTTGATACAAAGGCTGCTACTTGAAAGTGGGGAGGTGAACTCAGCTGTTTCGTCCAGACTTGCACATCAGTTTCACTGCACAATTCAGAGCAATATCTTGCAGAAATAGCCACCTCTGTATGTGTTCCTCAGCACTACAGTCTCTTGTGCACAAGTTTCAAAGTTGAAGATTGCATAAGCTATATTCCTTAGTGTGGAGCTGTGTCAGCTGCCACAGCATCATTTGGTGACTTTTCAGGCCCACCAAAGTGCCTGCAAGACCTTTTTCTTCAAAATCACTTTGTTGCATAACAGTAATAATTTTGCCTCCAACCTCTTGATCTGAAATAACGTGCAATCCCCTCGCGCTAATATAAAGGAAAACATATGGCAGCAGATCTATTGTGTAGTTTGCTGTCATATACAGCACAGGATAGAAAACAGCATGATGTTCATCTATTTCTGCAGCTAAAAGAGTGGCTACTAATAACCCTGTTATTTCTGTTATTTCAACAGTATTCGGGTTTCCAGCAAACAGCAGATAAGTGCTTTGTTTGTGGACACCTCATAATGGAAATGGTAAGAGACCTAAACTGTTTTATATCTTTTCTGATGTATTTTGGATAGTGGTCTGTTAGACAACGTGCTTATTCGCTAGTCAGAATATCATTGTGTCTCCACTATTGTAAAGGCAGCGTTTCAAATTGAGGCAGTATTGTAACCTGAAGTATATTCTTGCTTACTTGGTCTGAAGTTGGGCTTCTCTTCTACCTGAGATCATGGGATGCCATTTTTCTTCCACATGCCAGTTAAAAAAAGAAATAACAAAGGGAGAATATAGGCCACAGCTTTGTATGAGCATGGTAAAGGAAAACGAGTTGTGCTCTGTAAGACAAGAGCTCTTTCAGTGGGGTCAAGGTCTGGGCTAGAAAAGAAACACTAACAATAGTCTTGAGGTTTGTTGCCAGCTCCGTGAGTTGCTTCTTGCTTTATTTACCTTCTGCCACTTGCTCTACATCTGTTAAGATCTGTTATTTGCTACTGTGATTTGCAGGGAGACAGTGGTCAGTTACTTTTATAAGAAAACAAGGAGCTGTGGTTTGAGCCAGATACTGCTGGCATCCTTCTCTAGGTGAAAGCAGGATAAATTTCATCTGTTCTTTCTAAGCAGAATTCCCAAGTAAAATGGCTTGCACATTGAAGAAGTGCAGATCACATGTATGCCAATGTTTTTCTCTTGCTGTAAAGTGTATTAACGTTTATCAGTGCACGTAATAGAAGTAGTGATTGCACTGCAAACACAAAGGTGCAGTAGGAGCTGGAACACAGACTTCACTAATGAGAATTCTGGCACATATCCTGGCACCACTGGTTGGACAAGGATATTGTTCGTTTTAGCCCAAGAGCAAACTTCTAGAGTTGTGTCATGCTGGGAGGGGGAGGGGTATCACAACTTGCATGCTTTGAACTGGCCTTTAATTGCAGGATGCCAGGCAAGAGTCTAATATCTTGTTGGTGGAGCTCAGTGGCCGGAAGCTTGGCAAGTCTGCCATTCTCCCATCAGCAAGTATACTCCAAAAAAAAAGGAACCTGCTTTGGGAGCTCCAGGAATTAAGCAGTCTTATTTGGCTAATTGCTTTGTGTTCCTCCTTAGGAGTGCACAGGCAGCAAACATGTCTGCACAGTCACATTACTGGTGTGCAACTGAGGAACAGTGCTGCAGCCCCACAGGGTTGGGTGCAGCCTGAAGCTTTCAAGGGCTGAAAGTGCAGTTGTTCTGTGCAAAGGGTGGCTGCACAACCACACCAGGCTTGTGCTTGTTATGTAGCTGTTTGGATAGCAATGCATGCCTAAACACAAGGGTAGGAGCAGTCTTGCAAATCAAAGTGTCTGATACCAGTCACTGAACAGAAAGCTGTGCTCCATGTCTTAGTTCCTGTTGAACTTTACCTGTAGAAACAGCTGCAAGGCCACATCAGCTTTGTCAGTGGAGATTCTCCCTGTACAGTCTATTAGTAGCCTAGTGCTGCTGCTAGCAGAAACGTTTTGAAATTACCTCCCAAAGATAGTGGTTACACCTGAAACGTGTACAATTGGTGCTATAATCTCTTGAGAGTTCCTGAAGATGGAACCTTGTCTAGTCCTTCCCAGAACCTAGTCCATGAACTCGGTGTGCTATCTTTGATGGCCCTGTGCCATGCCACCTCCACTAAGTGGAAGGGATTTTATAACAGTATTGAGAAAACTGCATAATAAAGGCTTTCTGTGAAATAACGGAATCACAGCATTAGAAGGGACCTCAAGAGATCACTGAGTCCAAAGCCCCTGCTAAAGCAGGTACCCTACAATAGGCCACACAGGCAGATGTCCAGACAGGTCTCGAATATCTCCATAGGAACAGGCAGTAGGGAAGGTCAGCATGACAGAAGCATGGACAATTTTGATTACTCATTGATACAGATCTTAGCAAAAACTGATGGGCCCCTATAACTGAGTAATAACTGGTCAGTAAGTGTGGTGGAACAGGAGTTTTATTATTTTACTGTGTAGGTGTGAGCAATGGCTACTTTAGACTCCTTCTGTCACGGTCTGATGCATTTTGTGAATTAACTCTGTATCCTACTCACTTGTATTTGACTGCAACAGATTTTCCAAGTAGTCTGTGAAGCTGTTCTTAGTTTCTGTTGGGCAGTATTAGCCATGCAGAGCTAATACTGATGGACTTAATCTGATTTTCACAGATCTCTGTCATTATTGGGAGCCTGATAGAAACCCACAGAAATCAGGAACTTCGTTATTTTAAAAGGCCCCTTGCTGACAGAATTCCAGATTGGTAAATTCATCCCAAAGCATGTGCTTCTGTCATTTTTAAAAGTCAGACACAGCAGTGTATGAGGAAGGATTTCATGTAATTGTGCACCCATTTACTTTGCTCTTTGCCTCTTAAGATCTTACAGGCCCTTGGAAAGTCATACCACCCTGGCTGCTTCCGCTGCGTGGTATGCAATGAGTGTTTGGATGGAGTCCCCTTCACTGTAGATGTGGAGAACAATATTTACTGTGTCAAAGACTACCATACGTAAGTAAACAAATCTATTGCATGCTTAGAAGATTTATACTGGTTAAGTTACTGGTACAGCTGTGAGTCTTGCAGTAGATGAAGAGTTATTCCTATTTGTTCAGCTGTCCCTTAGTGCTCTTCTCACACACTGCATTGTAAAGTGTTTTAAAGTTATCCTAAAACTCACTTGGTGGGTCTTGTGGGGAATTCAAGGGCTAAGTGAGATTGAAAATGAGGTTGTATTAGAGGATGTATTTCTCTGCTGGCTGCTTCTTTCAGGACTTCATTACTAATTAGACGTGGCTAATTCTGCAAGTGGTGGTAGGTTCTGCTAGTGTCCAGATGCTAGTGGTGCGTAATACTTGGGAATGTAAGTTACATCAAGTTAGATGGGACAGTAGACATAGAATTAGCAGCCAGTGTTAGAATGATCTGACCTTCACCGGATGAAGTTTTACTGTTTAAGTGATTGCTTTTGGACTCTTCTCTACTCTTGCTCAAGGGAAATGTAAATGCTCTCTTTGCTCCAGCCAGCTAGTAACTCAGCTCGTGGATCAAGAGAAAATCACTTTAAATTCATTTGTATTGGTCTGACTGTATTGTGGAGATGGAGTGATGTTGGCCCAGTGACTACCATAAAATGCAGCTGCAGGTAAAACCAGCTGATGTATTTGGTTTACACAGATCCTAGCTGAGATCAGTCCTTCTCCCATTTAGCATGTGAGCTGGTGACCGGCCAGGTCAGGAGCTACTTTGCACAATTTGAATAAAGAAAGGTGAGAGAAAGGGCACGTATAGGAAGAGGGGTGGATTGATAATACTTAGAGGTCAAGAAGAGCTAAGCAATAAAGCTGGGGTAGATACACCTTTCTAAGTCTCCTTTTCCCTGAATATTGTAAAAACAAACAAACAAAAAAAAACAACCCAAAACAACATAGAGATATCTTCAAACCCAGGTTTACATTTTACTAAAAGAAGGCATGGTAAGAATAGTTGTCCTGGTTCTACTTTTTGAAGAAACTTCAAATGTAACTTGAAAATGTCTTCTTGCTCCCTAGGGTTTTTGCACCAAAATGCGCTTCCTGTAACCAGCCGATTCTACCAGCACAGGTACATGTTAATGTGCACAGACTCGTTACAACAAACAGCTGTTGGCATAAGAACACTTTCCAAGAACTTTTCCTCCTTCTTCCACAACGTATGTCAGATATTAAATTAAATACAGTTCAGCAGTAATGTCACTCCCAAACATTCCCAGAGGTTGTAATAGTCATAGTGCTTATGTAGCATATTACTTTGTATCATTAGGGTGCTTTCCAGGTCTTAATTGTGCTGTTATAAATCTCGTTTAATTGAAAGCCCTAACTGGGGCTCCAAGAACAATCCAAGAAGTAAAGCTCTGTTTATTTTTAGAATTTCCCATTAGCTCAAGTAGCAATTTTCCTTGTCCGCAATGTTTGCTTTTCTGATGTGCATCTGATATGATGCCCAAGCTTGAAAAGAAAGCTGAGGGGTTACCCTGACCCTCAGAAGCCACACAGCCTGTTGTCGTGGAAGGTCACTATAATGAAGTGGTTAAAGGGTGGAAAAGGAGGTAGAAAAGTTGCCTAAAAGGAAAGCCAGATGAATGACTGCTGCTTGCAACCTCGGACCATTGTGATGGTATTGTTAGCACAGTAAGACTCTGGAAAAGACGATCCCTTTCTGCCTGCCCACAATGATGTTCCATTAAACTCCAGCAGCTGCAGGACCCCCCGAGTTCCCACTGCTCATGTCACTGGCCAGTCTGATCACAAGGAAGGCCCTTCGCGCCTTCTTTCTCCTCTCTTCAGGCACATGTAGCCAGAGCGTGCCTCCTGTAAGCTGCTGTGCCCTACTAAAGTCTGTGGCTGGAGCCTCTTAGTGTGCCCACCTTTACCATGCCACATTATCCGATGTCTGTCATTATTATTTTTGCTAAATTAAAAACCTTATGAAAGCTGGGCCAGAACCTCATGCACTGCTGATGGTGGTATAAGGAGTGAAGTTTCCATAGAGCTTTTCTAGTTTCTTGCCTTACAAAATAATTTAAAAATTAATAATTATTAAAAGAAGGTAAAAAAGCAGTCCTACTGCTGACTCATCTGATGGTTAGCAGGATAGACTCCATGTTCTTTCCCACGGAGGTTTCATAGGTTAGTTCAAATCCAGCAGTGCAGGTGCTAACCTGCCCGTGGCTTCTCTCAGACATAGTCTACGTCATATCTGATGCTCTAACCACGCCTGGAACTGGAAACAGTGTGGGTCAGCAAATTTAATGAGCTCCGTCTTCAGAGGCATGGAAGTGGCTCAGGGAAAGGTTCCTGTAACCTGTGAGGTTACAGGAAGGGTATGGGCAGCTTGGCAGAGCCTGGGGCTCTGCCAGGTATTACACAGCTCCACTGCATCCATCATCGCACTGGGGCTTTGGCCTGTGTGCATAATTACATGCTAGACAGCTATGTAAAGGACCGTAGGGCACATACACTGCCATGTGCACACGCAGAGTAGCTGTGCACCAGCTAGTTTGAGGGGAATGAGTCTGCTAGGAATAGTCACCTAGTCATTATCTCATAGTGTTTGGCTTATAGTTTGTTCAACTTCTGGGTGCCCTTGGAAAATTGTTTTATTTCAAGAGAAAAACTCTCTTTTGAACATGAAATTTTAGCTATGCTTCCCAAATTACCTTTACAGCCTATTTTAGACATCCACAGGACTGCTTAACAGGAAAACTGGTACTGCAGTGCAGTGCATGGAGGGGAAGACCCTCAGCAGTTACAGAGATCTGTTCTACGAAAGGAGAAGGGATATCTCACACAGAAGCACCTTTCCATAGCTGTATGTTGGGCAACATACTGAAAGAAGATTGAGAAAACACCACTTAAAAGCCCACTCTTACCTTTTCTGTGCTTTTCCAACAGGGATCTGAAGAAACCATCAGAGTAGTGTCAATGGACAAAGATTACCATGTGGAATGTTATCACTGTGAGGTGAGTGTCACAGAGGAGCTGGGCTGAGGCACTGGACAAGGACTGCTTATACCAAACATTCTCCTCTCAGTAGATGCATGACTTGCAACCCAGGGTGCGTATGCTGACTCCTGCATGCCTGGGCAGGTAGGGCTTTGCACTGTGGCTTCTGAAAGGAGTTGGAGGAATGAGTGCTAGCTGCTATTTCCAGTAGTACCAAATAAGGTTCCTTTTTTTTTTTTCCAGTATATTAATTTAAAAGGCTGAGTTTCATTGTGGTGGAATTTTCTCTGTACTTGTAGATGGGGAGAGAACATAGAGGAAGCCCTGGGTCTCTTTTTCCTGATCTTTTTGGATACAGTTTGTGTGGCTGTGGTATGAGGAGGTTTGAATTTGCTTATGCAGAGAAAGACCTTCATCCTGTGCTGGAAAGCTCTTCCAGGGGATTTGTGTATTTCCATGCTGGATGAACACTTGTTTACTACATAAGAGAGAACAGTATCGATGACAGTATTTTTGTGCAGAATATTTAAACATTTATTGGAGCAGATCAAGATCTGGGACTGGTGCTTTTGCTTCACAGGGAGGAGAGCTCAGTTGAGTGTTATCTGTGCAGCCCAGGAATACAAGGAAGGAGACAAACTCTTTAATTTGAGATCAACCTTTCGTGCAATCCAGCTCAAAAATGGTTTTATGGAGAGGTTTCCAATTGAGGGAGAAGGATAGCAAAATTTGGGGCATTCTGAAATGTATGTTTCAGGACCTACACCTGAGCCTATGAGCCTAGCCAGCTCCTTCCAACAGAGGTAGCTGATACTCAAGATAAATTGGCATAGGACATTTCAGCATGTGGAGAGCTGTACTTCCCTCCCTTCTTCCCTCAACTATTGCTTTGTGCAGGCTTCACTTTAGATGACAGCTCCCTCCCCTTCTTTCTCAGCCTATTGACATTATATTAGAATGTCCCAATGGGGGTTTGTTTTCTGTTCTGTTTCATTATTCATTTACCCATTCTCTTTTCAGTTTGAGGCAAATTAAGCTGCTTCCACATCTGCTGAGAATGGCAGAGAACATTTATGTACAGTAATCAGAGGTTAGCCATGTGTTGGCAGGGGTAGGTTACTGCTTAATAGCTTCAAATTAGGCTCTCAAACTGTACACACTGGGTCACTGCTGTCTCCAGCTATGCTAGTTCAGTCAGTACCAGTATTCTGAGGTATGCACACAGACACTTTGCAAATGTCCAGTTTGTATGAAATGTCATTTAAGTTGTCATCCACCATTTGTTCATCATGCAAAGTCAGTAGTCAAGCTTGGAAACTTTTCTACTTTCCTGTGTCGTCTTTTCCTGGTGTGACAGCTTAACAGCTGCAGCAAAACCTCAACAGATTCTCAATCTGAAACTGAAATCCACTGAAGAAATGGACTTTCTTATTACAGAAAAAGGAATAGGTTTTAGAGAGTTTTTGTTTGATTTGCATCGACATTGAAAAGATGGAAAGAGGAAAAAGAATTGGGCTAGAATTTGGCTAGAATTACTATAGCTAGTCCTAGTAGATTTTAGTGATGTCATTTTGTTTAATGCAGGATAGACAGGACCCGTCTACCATAAACTCTTGATGTTGCTGTCTTTTGTGGCGTGAGAGCGAGCTTGCAGGGTTAATCAGTGTTGATATAAGATGACCTACCTGAGTCTCTCATAAAACTGGAATGTATATTTTTCTTCTAGGATTGTGGCTTGCAGCTCAATGATGAGGAAGGCCATCGTTGTTACCCATTAGAGGGCCACTTGCTCTGTCACAGCTGTCATATCAGGCGCCTCAATATTAAGTTGCCATCGCATCCCCCGCCAAGCTATCCAATGCACGTCACGGAACTCTGAAAGACATTTCCATTGCCAGTAAGCCGTTTAAAAGAGAAGACAAATTTAAAAGTGACTTTCCTGTTCCTTTAAAGATGATATTCCAGTAATAACCTTCTAAACCATCTATTTATTTTTTAAATCAGAGGTAAGGGGTTCTTTCTAATCTTGTATATATGCGTTCTTTTATTTAGACGTTTTCACTGAGGCACCGTCTACTTGAACAAATAATGCGCCATCAAGTCATAACTGTAAGTGGCAGCATTTTTAAAAACAGTGGTACAAAGGGCTGCTCTGCACTCCTTGCTCACGTTTCTTCAGTGGAGGTTTTGGCCAAGTAAGGAGTACAGAATAAATTTCCAAAATTTAGCACCTTTATCACATTGCAGCAGGCATGGTAAGATAAATGCCAGCATTTTCACTAGTTTCCTTGAAATCTGGTCTTAGAGAATACAAGTCTCACATTTTAAAAACTGTACATTCCCAGAATTAGTGAATAAGGAAGCAAACGAGTGTCTTCAGCAATGACAGCTTTCAGCATGGGTTAGATAATGGCATTCTGTGAAGACATATCAGGACAACTTTTCAACCTACGTGGTTCCACAGTGATCTAAGGACTAACTTTGTTAAAGAAGAATGTCAAGGGTCTCATAAAAAACACGTTACAGAAGAATATATCCAAAAGAACAGTGCATGCAGGGTTGTAAAATTGAAGGAAGGTACTGAGCTCTGTAATTGCTTGTTATGTACAAGTGTAGCCATAGCTTCAAAATGCATTCATGTGACATTGATGATTTGGCACTTAGTAAGCAATTCATCTTTAAATTTTTTTGTTTGTTTAACAGAGTTAGCAGCCCCTTTCTATGCAAAGGTAAACCTTACACTACCTGTTTTATGCAGGCTACTATTTGTTCATTTGTTACCAACTGCTTTAAGATTGTATGTTGAGACATTATTAAAATGGAGGGGCTGCGGTTTTTGTATTATCTTTTCAGCTTTGTGTTCTTTTCTAGATGTACTTTTCATCAGATTATGGTCGTTATCTTCAATGGAAAAACACAACACAGTTTAGCAGAAATAATAACTTAGACAATTGAAACACTGATGTTTTATAACAAGTATTAGATGTACATAGAATGTACACTTTCATGTTTTGCATAAGCTGTTACAGTAACCTCAGAGCTCTGGGGAAATGTATGTCTTCCATATAGGAAGTTCGATGAATCTTTTTTTATGGTTTTTCTACCATGTGTTGATGATTTACATGCAAATCACACATCTGTATGTTTAAAAAATTCCTTGCATTCTCATGAGAATTTATCCAGCCTTCCTGAATTTATATTTTAAATAAATCCATCATTGCTGTCTTTGTATCCAAAATTACAATAAAATAAAACTCTTCTGCTCCAGAGGAAGTGGAAATACCAGACCAGATTCTCGGCATGTGTAAACTGGGACACTTCAGTGCGAGTTCTCAGCATGTCAAGAATCTGACTGGCCCGTTCAGAAGTGATCACGTTGAATTCAGCATGCAGACTGATGAAACGACTTATTTGGTAACACCACTGCAGTTTAGTTTCTTATGCTCCACTGATTTTTTGAAAGCCATTTGTGGTGCTCTTGAAAAAAGTACAAAGGGCATCCAATGGCCCCTAATTCCAAAGTGGAATAATTAACTCTTTTAACAGAATTTTTTGACAGTCTGGAATTTCCTTGGGGAGGTGGGGAAGAGCAGGGAGGCAGGAAAAATTCTCGTGCACTATTTTTTTTTTCTGTTAGTAAGGAACAAAAGCTATGTTTTCTGAACTTCTACCAAACTTCCTCTGGCCTAAGTGAACCTGTTCTACTGAATGCTCTTTGGCAAGTCAGATACTCCTTTAAAAAGTAATTTTCTAATTAATATATGAGTTAGTGTGAGAGCCATGTTTTGTAGGAATTACTGTATAACTAGTGTCCTGTTTCAGCAGTGTGAGCTAGGAATCCTCCTTTGCAGAAGGGTAGACATTGGCTGCATGCACACATGCCTTTACCTCTGTGCCCATAGTCACCAAACCAGCCTCAAGAGGGAAGCAGAAGTAGAGGTGCCTCTTGCCCAAACAGCAAATTCTGGAAAAAGAAACAATTGTCTTCAGTTGGGTTATATAACTAGGTGAATTCCATTAAGGTTACTACAAACACTAGGAAATGAAGATAGAGCTTCAGGATAGACTTTTAGCCTGAGCTGCAACGTAATACTTTTCCATTTAAGGAAGCTGCTTTGGCCCACATCTATCTTTGAGGTATTTCTAATTGCTTGTCTTTACAATTACATACTAAAGAATTCAAATTAAGAAAACAATCATTCAAATACACAGAGAATGTTTGAGTCTGTTCCTGTGAGCAAGTCATCCCATAGCAGTACATGCTGTACACTGATGCAAAAACCTTAAATACCACTGTGGCCAGAGGTGGAGGTGACTCTGGCATTTAGCTGGGCTTCCACCAGCACCTTCCTCAGCACTTCCACCTCCAGTCAACAGCAAGGTTAGGTTTCCAGCTCAGCATTACTTTTCAAGGGTCAGCATGATCCAACATGTACATGTATTTACCTTTTCCTCTTTTTTTTTTTTAAATGATCATACTTTAGAACAGAATAATATTTAATTTCACATGTCAGTTTGTCCTGCTTGTAGTTCTGCTCAGTTCCAGTGTGTTAAGTATCCTCAAATGCTATGTTGAAAGTTACAGTTTCAGTATAGAATAGGAAATCTGTTTAAAACCAGAAAGCAGCAGTTGTTCCAGTATTTCCTACAGACAGGTGCATTTTGGTTTTGGATAATAAAGTTTGCTTTTCCAGCATTTAATATAAAAACTGGCAGTTGGGTGAGATTTGCCAGCTTTTAGTCAAAGAACAGAGGAAAAAAAAATAAATAAAAGCTAATCTGAAATGGCGATGCGTGCTGTAGTGCTAGCAACAGCTTCTGCACATTTTACCTCCTGTCTGGGGAATTATGTAAGTGAGAAAACTCCATTCAGTTATATTCCTAAGGAGTACATTCTTAAATCAGTTCAACACAGATGTAAACTTTCTGGAGCTCGTTTTATGACGTGGCTGTTCATCAGCGGCCCTTTATGTTCTGTACTGTCAGAATCTGTCCATAAAGTAAAAACAATTCCAACTATCAGGAATGCACCTGACCTCTTTGCTGAGGTAGCCTCACCAAGTCCCTGCAGCACAGAGCTGTTCTCGGTGATTCAGAGTCCCTCATGCGCTGGAGGAAGCGTTCCAAAGAAAGGACCAAAATAATAACTGAAAAACAAAACAAAAGAATGCACTCAGATAATTGAGCTTTCAGAAGGAGTTTGTTTGGGTTTCTCTCTGTTTCTTTTCACTTGTGTGCACGTGTGTGTGTATGTATATTTTGTAAGGTGGAGCTTCAAAAGGAAAACATGGTAGAGGAGCTCTTTAAGACCAGAAATTCCAGAGTAGTTAAGTAAACCAAAGCTCTAAAGGAGACAAAAGCTGCTTTCTTGCGTTTCAAGGAAAGTTTAAAAGTTTGTCATTCATCCTGTAACTAATGCCGTAACTAGAGTGTATAATTTGACTTAAATTAAGTTTTCATTTGAGAAATATTTTCATTTTCTTTAAAAGAATATAGTTTTCTTCCAAGAACTTGGACCAACATTGATTTTTATTTTGTAGGAAATATATAAATTCCCTGTTTGTATATCATGTAACTAGTTTACATGCTGAAAATATGCATTAGTTTAACTATTTTTGTATATATCCTTGTAAAACTTTTGAATGTGCTTCTGTCTTTTAGTTTTTAGAATTACTTGTGGTTTTGTGTTTCAGTGTTTGATTCCCTTGATTGTTGAAGAAAAATAATTGGGAAATGTAGATTTATTTATCTAAAGAAGAAGCTACTTGCTATCACCCTAAGTTATTTAATATTAAAGTCAGACGTTTCATTTAACCTTAGATGCTATAATCTGCTTTTTTTCAATAAAGACATTTTCTAGTTATCTTTGATTTTGCAGTTCATTGCATAAGTGATATATGTTTCTTAATCTAGGTGGGCTCTAACACCATTTTCAAGAGACCTTTGTACTGCCTAAAGAAATGCCTAACTGATGTTAATTTATAGCAGCTGCATACATGAAGGATTTTGGTCCTCCAGTGCAAGTGTTACTAATTAAGGTCTAAAACATGCCCACAGCTAATATTTTGCAGCTGCACTTAGAAAAGAATTTAGCCACTCTGGCAATTTTTAATTAAGCTTTAACCAGTCTGGAAAGCTCACATGCAGGCCAGTCAGTATGAAGGAACACTTCCTTTTCAAGACTTTCATGAGATCTCAGAGCATTCCAGAAGAGCAGCACAATCCTGGGCAATGAACTTGCGTAGGTCTTAGGTGCTAAGACCCTGGTTTGGGGAAGTTTCTCAATTTTTTGCCAAGTCATAGCAACAAAGAATCCACGCCAAAGCTCTGATGGGATCAGAAAGATGCTCTTTTTTTTTGCATATATGTACACATTTTACCTTTCTGAAGGTCTGCCTCCAGCTTCACAGCACAGATGGGCATTTTTACCACTCACAGCAGTCCTGCAAGAGCAGCTACATCTGTCAGGCAAAAGATCTGTCAGCACTGGTATCTCCTTGTCAACTGTGGCCAAGAGTGGATGCCTGGGGAAGAGTTGAAGAATAAAGTTTTTTCCCTAGTTTCTGTATACTTGCATTCCCTGAGTTTCTTTTAAATTCACCTTGTCACAGTCCCATCCCTATGGATGCTCTTTCCCCCAGTGACTTGCATCGAGTGTTCACAAGTGTGATGCCACTCAGTCCATCAGGGAGGCCTGCTGCAGCTCAGCCACGTTGGCTTTGCCAAGTACAAATGACTTCAAATTCAGAAATGAAACTTATTGGTGGGTTTCATACAACAGCTATTTTGGTAATTTTTTCTCCCACATAGTCAGAACAGAAAGAGTTACAAACAATTGTTTTAGAGACACAGTCTACACTTCTGTGCTTTGAAACAGATGTACTGCAGGTCTATAAGGACTTAGAAAATATATGCCATGTTCTCACAATTCTTAAAAAACCATTCAAAGTGAGCAATTCACGCCCTCTTTGAAGACGTAAAAAATATAAAGACCGTCTAACTCGTAAGGCATTTTAACAGCACATCACCACGAGTGACACAAATGTAGTCAATAAAATCTGGGACATACTCATAATGCAGCAAGTATTTATGCCAACCCCTAACTAGCCTGGTTGAAAAGAACAGAACACTTAAAAAATAGTTACTGCCCCTTGTGGGCCTCCTTGCAGGAAACGCATGCTGGAAAATGAATATATATTCACTGCAGAGAGAGCATGAGTCAGGACCTGGTTCCCAGAGGGGAGCACCACAGAACTCTGCAGTTCCCTGGCATCTAAGCCACAGGGCAGCGTACCACTGGAAACTGCTACATGATGCATGGCTGCTAATCTGCTACATGCAGAATATTCAAGAGTGCTTTGCTAGCCCTGCTTTTCACCTTATCAACCATTCCCAGGTCTGCAACCTTTAATTTGCAGCTGTAGAGGTAAACAAGGATTTGCCAGGTCTCCCAAGACTGATCCAAGGACACTGGCTACTGATGGGAAACACAAGCACTGTGTGACCTAGACTGATGTCTGCCTTCAGCTCACGTCACTGTTACTCAACTTTTAGTCATCCTAATTCATAGGCTGAGGAATAAGTGAGGACTTGAAATAAGTGAGGTTAGACAAGACATCAGGAAGTCATCTGATGTGACACTTGCACTCCTCCCAGAAGGCCCAAAAGAAAGACTAACCTTATATGCGTGTAATACCTTAAATATTCCCTTGGGTGTGTAATTGAGGAAGCTGGATTTGCAGGCTTGTTCCTACCTCTACTGCATTTTCTGATCAGCCCAGTCTGACAGGTATTAACAGTCAGTTGCTCAGCATTCACTTTTGGCGTTACAGGTTTCTTTTCAAAACCCCAGCTGGCTGGATCACTGCTGCCCATACTTTTAACTTCACACCAGCTAAGAGGAGCAAAAGGATGGCAGAAGTTAGCAAACGAAGAATGACAGTGAATCAGGGCTCTGCTGAGGGTGATAAAAACCAGCTTTGGATCTAAGAAGCACGTCAGTTTGCACATATTTTAGATTAGTATGGCTTCTTTCAAAAGCAGTATTCCTGAAGGTGGTGAGTTTTTGTTGTTGTTTTCCTAAAACGTTCAAATTTCAATCACTGATTTATTTACATTAAACTTTGGAACATGGCTACAGACACCTCTGCTTGTGAAATTCATTTAAAAGCAAAAGACAGGATTCTGCAATTACAGCCCTTCTCCCACCTGAAGGTTTGGACCTCATCGCTCTGAACACAGGAGCAATCTGCAGACTTCTTCCTACTTGTTGCCCACCCAACTTGCAGCTTTCAAAGGTACGGAATTTGGCTTAACGTGCCAGACTGTGATCCTGCTTGGTGCTACCAACTCCTGCCTGGAATCACGTATAGGTAAGAAACTTTGAAGGAGGAAATAATATTAAGCAAGGATCTGGAAAAAGTCAGCGAGAGCTGCTGGATGTTGAGCAGGACACATCATCATTAGTTTTTTCTACATGTCTAAGCTAGATGCAGAAGTGTCACCCATTAAGCAGTGACTTCCTGCTTCCTGGAAGAATTTGCAGGCTGTCCCTCAGTGACCACCTCTGGGATCATCATCCCCACAGAACTGAATTACATATTTGTAAAGCTATGAAGTGAACTGCAGTTTTTTGGCAAAATTCCAGAAGAGTACAATTGTTTTCCTCCTGTTGACCATTCATATGAGATTCTAACGTTCTGTTAGTGCATAGTTCTCGCCTTCACTTAACACTGAGATAGCAAAAATAAGTTCTAAATTGCCATATTGTTTGTTAAGAGCACGTACAAACCAGCATGTTCTGCTGTATCTGCATTTTCCCTGTGCTGTCAGATTTTGTCCCATTTGAAGAAAATACTCAACATCAGCCAGCATAATTCACAGTACTCACATACGGTGTAGGAGCAGAACAAGCTGAAAACCGTGTAAAAGCTAAGAAACCACGCAGAGAGCTGGCTTGCCAGAAGTGTTAAAGTATCTATCTAGCAATACATTTAAGATCAAATTCTCAAAGATTTCTGTCACAGATGAAAAAAATCCACAAAAGCCCATATCTGCATGTACGTGTCTGGGGAAGTCAAAGATCGAGTACTGCGTTGGTTTGTTACGGTGATTCAACTGAATGGGCTATCTAAAAAAAGCAGCCTTCCCTTTAAAAGTGAATGTTAAAGCCAACTGATAGTTTAACTGATAATTACCAGCTGCTCTGGCAAAGCAAATGAAAGTCAGAGGCACCGCTTGGTGCTTTCAGGCACAGCAAGGAAACACCATGACATAAACTGTTCCCAGCTAATGAAAATAAACATTGCTCTGATAAAACCAAGGAAGCTGTGCTCATTCATGCTAAATGAGTGTCTCTCATCCTATGTAAGACAAGGCATTAAGGGTAGGAAAGAAAATTACTGCATTCATCTGTGTCCTTTACCATCTAAATCCTGCAGCTGAATCTTCATCAAAATACAGTTGAAATAAACTTTGCTCTTTGAAGGTCAGTTATTACATGGCTGTGGTCTCACCTTAGTCCCTTGTCTGTAAAGTCTGCAGACTGCATACAAGGATGGATGCAGCAAAGGATTAGAAAACAAAAACTGCATGCATGGCAGGGTGCAGCAACGGGCAGAGCACGACAGGAATTGCCTGTGATACCTGCAAACCGTGCAGTTAACTGCACTTACCTCTAGCAGTGGACACAGATCCAAGAAAAAGATTTGCACAGACCTTCCTTAACAGAATGAGGTAAAAAGGGGCACTGGTCTCCTGCAGCAAGAAGCACACACCATCTTCCAAGATGATGGCAGTGGCAGCACTCCTCCACTCCTGCCTATGCCAGGGAGTTCACCTGAGAGTTGTTCCATTTTTTTCTCCACTTCTTCCTACATCAGAAAAAGACTAGGGGGAGAGAAATAAATACATAAAGTTTTCTACACCATTTATATCTTCATTCATCTCCATTCCTTACTGGGACATTTGCTGGCAAGGGAGAAGAGGAAGGCTTTGCCCAGCTGGGCACAAGGCTGTGGCATCTTGGCAGAGGATCTTGCCAGTGGCCACTCTCTAACATTAATTCTTTTTATCAAACTGACAAGTCTCCATTCAACAAACATTATGGTAACTTTAGACACATCCTATTGTCCCTAGCAATGTCTTACTATTTAGAATAGATCCCCTGCTGTCTGGATTCACAAACTATAAAAGCTATACCTACACCTCATTTGGCCCTTTGTTCTTCTTTCGCCCAATATACCACACTTAATGGTAAAAGCGACAGATGTTCAGCTGTAGTTGATTATTAATATAATTTTATTTTCTATTTAAAAGAAAAAAGCATTTATAACCTTTTCATTTTTAAAGAACATATTTTCCCAGCAACCAGCTGGTAGCTTCTCTCTAACCCACAGCACATTTTCCAAGCTCTGGATCAAAAATATACTCCAAAAAAAGCGAGAAAAAAAAAACAACTATTTAAAAAATGAATAAGCTTACTGCCAGGCAACTGGCCAATTACTTTCCAGAAGTACCAGCAGAATGAGGATAAAACAACAAAAAGGTCTATATGGAAAAGCTCATTAGCAGCACTGAAACAGAGCAGTTGTTCTTAAAGAACACAACATTGCACCCTCCAAACTGAATCAAAAAGAAGGAAGCTCAAGGAAAACAAAGTTTCCTTTAAATGTTTAACTTTATTCTGTAATACAGAGCAGAAAATCTGCTAAATCAATGGCTCTGGCAGTTACCAGAGAATGCTTTGATGAAGCATGCTGGATTTCATGATATAACTTAACCTTAAGTTTGATTTATTTTTTCGTTTGCATTAATCCTAACACCTTAAAAGCTGAAATCTTTTCCTTTGCAGATAAGACAAAAAATAATATAAATCTAGGAACCTACTGCATTGCAGTGAGTTACTTTCATACGATCTTGCCCCAGAATCTTATGGCTCTGTTTGCACCCAGGTCCTAAGGATCTCCAGCAGCTGAACTTGCAGGCTGAGCAGGTGCAATTGGGGAGCACAGAGCAGAAGGTACCTAAGATTGCAGTTGTCTGAGCTCAATCTTCAGTTGCAGCATTGCATATGAATATGCAGGCCAGAAGAAAAGCAGATCTGCAGGAAGAATACTGCAGGGCCTCAGCAGTGCTGACATCTTGAACAGGAGTGAAGAACAGGTGAGCAGAACTGTATGTAGCTTGCCAGCTGCCAACCCTATTTACAAAGGAACAGCAAAATGTGTCATTGCTGTTTGTTTCACCAGCAAGAACCATCTGCTTCTTCCAAAGAGTGTTACAGAGTATTTTAAATGTATCCCAAAAATCACTCTGGAGACAGGTGATAACTGACACATGGCTACATAACACATTTCCTTGTACTCTGCTGGCTGGCAGCCTATGTTTTCCTACTCCCTTTCCAGCTGAAATGTACTGAATATCCCATTTTACCATTGCAAAAGTGCTCCCGGTGCAAGCTGCAGATACACACTCAAGGACAGGCAGCAGAGGAGGCAGGAGCAGGACACACAAGCAGAACACTGGCTGCAGCCAAAACATGAGGACAAATGACCTGCGCTGCTTTTGGTGACAGCGTTTCCAGAGGCACCAACACACAGCCTGCTACAACAAACCAGCCTCAGGAATGCGGCAAGAAGCATCCTTTGTGGGGTTTGCTCAAGTGAAAACAAAGTTGCAGACTGTTGAGCTAAAATCTAAGACAGCCAGAAGTGAGCAGAGCCAGAGGTGACCTGGCCAGTGGCTCAGGGTGAGGAGCAGATGGCCACCACTCTGCTTCCTGCATGGTGCCAAGACTTTGAAGGACATGGGAATGGCACCAGAGGATGTTTTTCCGTTGGAAATATCAAAGTTATTTCAGACAAAGATACCCCTAAGGAACGTACTCAGAGCCTCCCTCTGCAAGCAGCATGTCCAGCTACCCAGACACCACAGAAAACAGGAGAACAGCATCTCTAGCCTCTCTTCTCCTGTTCTAACAGGGCTGATTAGAGCTGCAGGCTGGCACAAAGCCTCACCAGATCCCCCACATTGCGTGGGGCAGCACCTCTGCCACATTTCTCACTTCATGCATTCTGAAGGAGATCAGTAATTCATACCTCAGAGGAAGTGAGTGAGCAGTGAACTCCAATAAACTCCATTGCAGTGAGTGAACTCAGGTTTAGCTGTGTGACTATCTCTTGCCTTTTTTTTTTTTTTTTTTTTTTTAATTAGAAGTAGAAAAATAAATTTGTTTGGGTTTTTAGAGCTAATCCAAACACATTTTAGTTGTCTTTTGAGATGGCACTTCCTGCCTTGTCCCTACTTGACAACAGATTTTTCAGTCATTAAGAATGTTCTGCACGCACAGAAATATCTCGGGTTATTTTTCCCATAATCAAAAGAAAACAAATCCCAGAGCAGCCCTGGCAGGCCGCTTCCGGCCAGCACTGCTGTGCCCCCAGAGACCCATCATGCTGCTGCTGACTTCAGAGGGCAAACAAGAAAGTTTGCTTTCAGTATAAAATTAGACACTAAAACTAACTGATTTTTTTTCCACCCCAAAACCAAACTCTTGCCCAAATACTTTTCCACTAAACATATTCCAGGACAGTAGTTTTAATGTACATGAGTGGCTTGGATCATAGTAAGGCAGTGTCTGTGTTCCTCCTCAGCTGTCAGTACACTTCGATGTATTCCTGGCCAACGCGCCTCTCAGCAGTCACTTGGAAGCACTTGGAAGCAGCTCAACCCACATTATCAGGTACCAGGATGCCCTCTGCTACTGTCTGCTTGCTTTGTCTTACAAGGCCTTCTCTCATTATAAAGAACTGACATTTAGAAGAAACTGCAATATTATCTACTTCATTACCCTCCTATAAATCCCACACTAAGACCCTCATCTGCTGTGATGTCTAAACAAGCTTTGCCAATTAGACTTACTAATGCTCTATGGCTACCATCCTCTAACTTCCATCTTCAACTAGGACAGTCGACCTCTGAAGGCAAAAAGCTATTTCTATTATTATATATATATTACATTAAATAATAAATAAATAAATAGCTTTATTTATTAAGGCAGGGAAGATATTCCTGCCTTAAACTACATATTTATGAGTAAAAACCACCAAATCTTTCAGCACTGCCAAAATCTCCTTGGCCTGATGTGAAGACAGTTCTGCTACAGGAAGTATTTGTCTACTGATGTCTGACACTGGAAGCCACCCTAGCAAAAATCAGAGCTATCCTTACCAGTAGTGTACCCACAGCAGATTTACATTGCTAAGTGTAAAGAATTTCACAAGCAGTTCACAATAATGTATCCAACTAGTCTTTTGCTTCCTCTGTCAAACAGAATAATATGGGTGAGAAAACTGCTGGCCACTCTCTGGAAGTACTGTTAAAAGCCTCCGAAATGCTTTGTGTTCTTGTGATGGGGGCTTTAGCAAGAGATCACTGTTGGCACTCCCAGCCTTGCATCTACATGGTCAGGTGAGTTACTGCAACATCTCCTTTTCATGTCTGATCAAGTGTCCAAAACTCAAGTTCAAGCACTCCTGCATGTTACCCTTATGTCCTGAGGATCTTCATCCAAGAGCTTTCAACAAAGCAAGCACGAAACAAGGCTGTAAAGCAACACAGTTCAAGCATTTAAGCAGTTATAAAAAAACATCTGGGACCTAAAATAAACCTCTGCTACCCATCCACAGTACCCAGCACAACAGACATCTGGTATGACGATGATGCCCTCTCAAAACTTGGTCCCTCAGCAAGTCCTTCAGCAAATCTTACAGCAGCTCTTCAGAGTCACCAGAAGTCAGAGACCTACCAGAATTAGTTGGTGCAAAGGCAGTGGGGAGCACAAAAGGGCCTCCAAGCAGCTGGAGCACCTGGAAGCCAGTGATCAGCTTACAAAAAGAAAAGACTCTTATTCTTAGATTTTCTAGCATTAAAACTAAAACTAAACTAAACTAAAATAAAATAAAAAATAAAAAATTACTGAGGGAAGGAAAATACGAAAGTTTTTCTTTTTGTCCATACCTTAACTTTTTAAACATTTCTGTACAGGATACTGCAGAACTCCACAGAGCCACCTAGTGCTGGAAAAAGATCACTTTCAACTCCTGGGACGTCCTCTGCAGTCCCATAAATATTTGGGACTAATTGTCTGGCAAGGAGGAACCAAAGCCAATTCTGCAGAAGACAAGACCCTGCAGTTCCAGTTATGTGCAGCAGCAAGTCTGAGAACAGAATAGCCGATGAACTGCGCATACAGGAAATGTATTTTTATCCTAATAAGCTAAGGGCAAGAAGGACATTCTGCAAAACACTGTGAGTGACCAGGCATTCTCAAGTCGTTATTATCTGTGGGACTTCTCCTCTATGCTGCCAGCCTAAGCTGAGCAGCGAGCAAACCTGATTTTTTGTAAGGTTACCTGAGCTGCTTCCCATGCCCTACAGGACTCCCAGCTCTTGCTCTCCACCTATTTCGCTTTATTCTCTTCCTTACAGGGTACCTCTTGAATTTGCTTCTTACTTCTTGGACATTCTTTGCCATCACAGGGCCAAGACTTTCTGGCCTCATATTCGATCACGGCTATGAAAGAATCAGCATGGTGTGCTCCCCTCCATATCACTTGCTCCTTTGCTCACACTGCCTCCTCCCATGTGTTGGCAGAGACGACCAAGAAGCCACACAGTGGACCAGATCAGGAAATCAAACAACTGATCTGAAAATTTAAAAATAAAAAAATAAAATAAAATACAGAATAGAAACAGTTGGCACCCAGCTAGTTTAAATTACCTGATCCTGTTGACCACAGAAGTGATGCACTGATGCTTGTGTGAGAAGGAAACCAGGAGTAGCACAGGGTGAGATGGTGGCCTGATAAATTCAGCAAATGACAGCCTAAGACGTCACTTCTGCTCTGTACAGAAATATCCAACAGGAGAATCTGGAATAAGCCCTGCAGTTCTTCCACCAGGGCACTGCTCTAGTTAAAAACAAGTAAGTTAACACCTTTCTTTACAGCCATTATTTCTCCGCAGATTTTAGATTTGTTGTCCGTGAGATTGCAGATAGCCATGCTCCGGAAACGTGTAGTTTGGATGTCAGACTGGAATATGCAACTTATCGTTCCCCCTTCCCCCTTAGAATTTGAGAGGATTTTGCTGTGGAACTAGCTAGCTGGGCCTTTGAGAGATTTTGTTTCTTGTTCTCTGGTTTATAAGGGAAACTTGAAACAAATCAAAATTATTCTGGCCTTGTACTAAAGGTCAGTGCTGTGGGGAAAGATGACTTGTTTGGAATTCAGTCAGGAAGTTTAATACAAATAATCCAGCTTGAAGTTCTGTGAGAACAAGTCCCAGCCAAAAAAAAAAAAAAAAAAAAAAGTGCTGATAGAACGGAGTTAAGTACTAAATAACTTCTTTCCAAACTTCCCAACCGTTTTTTTCCACTGATAAACCCGGAAGCTTTCAAAGCTGCCATGTGAACAACGATATAGTTAAGGTGTGAAAGAGACACGATTCGTACCTTCTCAGATAAAACCAGGCCTTATGTGCAGACTTAAACAGGATGGAGCAAGGGAAGGAATAAAAGGTGCGAGTTGCCATGCAGGTGGACAACACTGCCCAGGGTCTCCATCACCTGTTATAGAACATTAGGCTGCAACAATCTTTTTTCAGCCAAGTACTCGTGCTATAGAAGAGAGAGAGCAGCTGAAACAATCCAACTATTCATTTGCAAATACGTAACTATTTGTTATTAAATAAATATTGCACAGGTGTACAGGTGGCTTCTGTATTTACAAAGGAATATCTGCCTCTCTGAGACTCCATCCCAAACTACATTTGGAAGTGTTCGTAACTCAGAAAAGCTTTTTAGTGGCATTTTCTCAACATAAGTAGTATTAAGAAACAGATAATGGAATGAGTAAAAAGGAGTAGATGCTCCACCTTCATGACACTATCCGCCTTGAAAGGATCACTTCAGAAAGAATTGAAATAATTTGTCTTTTTAAGAGTGTGTGCCTAAATACATAAGCACATGTATTTTTTAATAAAGCCCACAAGGACATAGCTGGTCAAGAGATTCCTCCCAAAACACTGGAAATAAGAATGATGTCAGTTCACATTTCCTCACAGATTTATACCTGTGTAGTTGCTCTGACTACAGTCAGTGGGGCTATAAAAGAATCGGCAATCAAAGGTTTAAACCCAGAGTTAACCAGCCTCATTTTGTTTTTCTGGCTGACCAAAGAACTGCCACTAACAAACACCAAGTCTTTCAGGCCTTTCTTGTTGCTACAAGGCATTATTCATTTCCAACAACAAGCAGCTACTTACATCAAACAAGTTGTACCTGGGACTAGGAAAGCATCAAGACCAAAACACCTTGTGATATTCCCATAGCAACCAAATAATATGGTGAGTTCAGAATGCCATGGTCTGTGATAAAATTGTCCTGTAGTAAGAAAAGACCACATATCAATCTAAAAGTATATGGCTTTTTGGTGTGTTTCCAGAGCTGCTGAGCTAGAACGATAATTATTTCGCTCTGAAAATCTGCAAGTAAGCATTACATTTAGTTTCTGTATCTGAATCTAACAGGGGAGCCTGCCAAATACTACAAATAAAACAAAACAAAACAAAACAAAACTTCACATTTGATGGACAAATATTTTGATAATTTTGTGCAGCTTTACACCCAGTCTTCCAAAAAAGGCCTCTGCTATGTTACCTGCACACAGCAACCCATATATTCCTATATGATCGTGACTCAGTGCCTCCTTACTCCAGTATCAGCTCCAGTGCCTGATAAAAACACAGCACCAGGAATCCTCTTCCCACTTGATGATTCAGCCTGTGATCTGAATATTTGTCCTCTCTTCTCAACTAAAATAACCTGGAGAAAGTTATGCTTCATTCAGAAACAGTCCTAGTAATCAGAGGGGAAAAATCAAAAAGCCCTGACTCACCGAGTGCTCATTTCCAACAGATAACATCATGTTTTGCCACCCAAGATGTTACAATCAGACCAATAAAACATGGCTGTCTCTTTTTGGCTTTAATGACACCGCAGCGAATGGATCCCGTATCGATAGTCTCTCCCTTTATTCTGTCCTGGGGAGGCAGGTGCAGATTCGAGAAAGGCTCATGAAATGGACTCAGATGTGATCAATTTGTAAATTCCCAGGCAGCTATCTGGAGAAAGCTCACTGCTGCCAAAAATGTGCACTTTGGAACATGGCTGAATGTTTTCTCTGTTTACAGTAACAGTTTCACTTCACACAGTCCCTCTCAAGATAAAGAACCAGAAGCATTTTGGTGACCTATTACGCTTTACAGTGTTTAAGCAAAAGCTTCAGTGCCAGTGCTTGCTCTCTAGTGGTAGCAGAGAAGCACCCTCAAATTTTCTCAGAGGAACTGCAGCATTTTCCTAATGCACTTCAGCAGATACTTCAGAGGGGGAAAAATAATCCAAAATTCCATTTCCTAGAGAAGGTTAAATAACAAAGTCTAACCACCAGTCACACACCTCTGTGTTGAACAGAAGAAGCATTTTAAAAACAGCTTTTGGAAGGTTAGTTCTCCTGAAGTATATTCATGGAAAAGCCCTGCAGTCTTAAATTAGAGTGTGCCATCCCTGTTAAATACTGGCTGTCAGAGTTTTGACACTTGGTTCTCCCTAAAACCGACCCAGGCGATGTGGACTGACCTCTGGCTGTGCTCTGACTGCTGCATACAACACACTGTGGGCATCTGGATGACCAAATGTCATCCATCTCATCTGTGTTGGTGGAAATTGTTTTATGCTTTAGGAATAGCAAAATAAGACTAGTCTTCCGAAATACTGATAAAATTTTAGTACATAACATGTTTTGGGTCATAGTTCCCCAGAGTTCTCATACATTTAAAGAGTACATTTCATCCCATATCTGCATTTATACACATAATGCCAGCAAAGTCCCTAGGCATGACTGTAACACAGCAGCAATCCCACTTCTTATCTCTAAAGGTAAAAAGCATTTTCAACATACCAGTAAGCTCCATACATAAGAATATATATATATATATACGCACACACATTCTTTCTTAGTAAATTTGCAAATGTGTTATCAGAGATGTCTTAAATGGCACCTTATTGCTGAAAGAACAAATCCATAAAGCAGGACAGTATACTGGGCTTCCCCCAAAATCCTCCCTTCTCAAAGAAAAGATATCAGGTAGTGTTCTGATCATAAGCATATGAATCATGTCTTGAACATCCTGAGCAACCACCCATTCTGAACACCTACACTTATCTCCTGAGCAGCAAAGATGTTGGAAAGGTGATGGTGTTCAGAAACAGCAATCAGATTTTCAAACATGTACTCACCCACAAAGCAATGGTGGCAAACTGGACATCACTCTGCCTTGAAGTTTGCTATTTATAAACTCCTATAATATCTAAAAGACATTCTCACAGTGATGAGAAACAAGCAGAGTCCTGAATTAATGCATTGACACTTTGTGATTTCCTTTGTGTTGTCACACTCTCCTTATTTGCTGATGGAGGGTGAGGCTCCCTGTACGAGTGGCAGCAAGCAGCCCTGTAGCGGTCTCACTCCCCTTAACTGCTGCCTCCAGTTAAACAACAACATGACAGCAGTGACACAGAACAGCTGCCCCCAGAAAGTTTACTTTCATGGGCCCGCAAGAGCCTACCATCCACAACTGCCTGCACAATGTCACATCTAGCTTTCATGCCACTCAATGCTTTTAAAAGTCTCCAGAGCAACAGTGGTGGCATGCAAGGGGGAAATAGTAAACCTCCTACCTCCAGATTACTTCAGCAGTTTTGCAGAATTTTTTTTTTTGATATCTTGAAGTACTAAAATAGGACAGAAAGTCTGTTTTTCCATATTATTTACACGGTCTTCTCATGGTTATGAATGATTCATATGGCTCCTGAGGAGTAAAAAATAAATTAAAAAAAAATGATGTCCAAGAAACACCCTCCTTCTCCATGTTCATTTTTTGCTGTACCCTCAAGCTCTGGAATGATACAACAGAGGGAAAAAGGAATTCAAGTGTACACATAAAGATCTATATAGCTACAGCATATATGAAAATGCAACCCCTGAGAATACTGGCTGCATGTTTAAAAAGACAGTTGCACACAGGAGGATTTCATTTGCAAAGCTGGACTCTAGATGAGGCTGTAAGAGTTCCAAGGATTTATGCTCAGGTGCATGCCTACTTTTTTTTCCCTACATATTCTGTCAAGCACTTAGTCACACACACTCATGTCAAAGAAGGCAGTTTTGTGCTAGCCATAGATGCATATTTCCGTAAAAGAGATGGATCAAGACAACCTACAGAAGATGTTTGACTCCTATAACACTGACCACATCTGAGGAGCTAAGCCCTACAGCTGTGTCCATGACAGTAACTTGCCAAATGGGTGCCAGGTAGGAGCCGCTGCTGCCTGACCTTTCCTGATGTTCTCAATCAACAATTATCACTGTCTGCTCATTTACAGAGATCCCCTTATAATCCTTTGCTTTCCCTTCAGTTGCTCACACATCATTCCTCCCATAGCTAGCCAGAGAGCACCACCAGTGGTCTCACCATAAAGTCAGTAATGACAAGCTCTGTTCCATCCAGGAGAGCCTCTCCATCCACACACAAACCTTCAGTGACCTCAACTGTGAGTTTGCTTTCTTTGCATGTAGGACAGCAATACTGCTGAAACAGAACAAGCTTGTATTCCCTATACAAAGACTTTCTGGAGATGGGATATTTCTGGTAATTCAGAAAAGCAAAGCCAGCTACATCCTGGAAAAATAGTTTTCATCTCTTGCCTTGCTGTCCCTAGGGCTACCAGCACAGGTAAGGGATGCCTGTGCGTTCTGTGGTTCGCTGGTGCACTGTACCCCTATCATGACATAATTCGATACCCCATGACTGAGTGGAAAAGCATGGAGACGAAGTCAATTAGCGCAATCAGTAATTCCAAACTGCACACATTACATACTGCTCTTCATGTTCTTGGAACCTTGAGTCTCACTCTAAAAAAATAGTGCAGATATTCTGAAAGAAATTCAATAGAAAAAACAATAGAAATTGCTAGCAATCAGGCTAAGTATTACACAAAGAGTGATACAAACTCATTCTCTTAGGGAAATACCTCTCATAATCCTGCATGACG